CAGATAACGCTAAGACCACTTTCAGGACTCGTTACGGCCATTACGAGTTCGTAGTCATGCCATTCGGTCTCAGCAATGCGCCAGCAGTTTTCATGGACCTCATGAACCGTATTTTCCATCCCTACCTTTATCAGTTCGTTATTGTCTTTATTGACGATATTCTTATCTACTCGAAGAGCTAGAAGGAGCACGAGGAGCATCTGAGGGTGGTTCTCGAAACCCTCAGACGAGAAAAGTTGTTTGCAAAATTCTCCAAATCCGGGATCTGGCTCCAGCGAGTATCCTTTCTGGGTCATGTGATTACTCAGGCATGTATCGAGGTGGATCCTTCCAAGGTTTTAGCCGTTCAGAACTGGTCGACACTGAGGAGTCCGTCTGAGGTTCGCAGTTTTCTCGGTCTAGCTGGTTATTACCGCAGGTTTATCGAGGGCTTTTCCAAGATTGCCCTCCCTCTATCCCAGCTGACGAGGAAGTCTGTGAAGTTCGAGTGGACTGATCGATGTAAGTCGAGCTTTCAGGAGCTCAAGAGGAGGTTAACTTCAGCACCGGTGTTGACTATTCCCGATCCTTCTTGGAGTTTCACCATCTTCAGCGGTGCTTCGAGACAGGGCTTGGGATGTGTCCTTATGCAGGATGGCCAGGTCGTAGCGTATGCTACACGTCAGCTTAAGCCGCATGAGCAAAACTATCCGACGCACGACTTGGAAATAGAAGCAGTCGTTCATGCTCTTAAGATTTGGCGACACTATCTTTACGGCGGACGTTGCGAGATTTTCACAGATCCTAAGAGCCTGCAGTACATCTTCACACAGAAGGAGCTCAACATAAGACAGCGCCGTTGGCTCGAGCTCGTCAAGGATTACGACTGCTCTATTCAGTATCATCTGGGAAAGGCGAACGTCGTCGCGGATGCCCTAAGCCGAAAGGTGAGGGGTGACTTGACGTACGTCATTACTCAGCAGAGTCCGTTGATTCAGGAGTTTTCCCGGATGCAACTTCAGGCGATCAATGCACTTCCCATAGCCGTTTCGGGGAGTACCAGTGTCAGTGTCAGTGCCATGCAGCTTCAGCCGACGCTGAGAGAGAGAATCCGGCGGGAACAGGCTTCTGACGAGTTCATTCGTGTCATGGAGGCCAAGGTTCGCGCCAGAAGCGTCGAGGGTTTTCAGCTAAGTGCCGATGGTGCCCTAGAGTTCAGGGGCAGGATCGTGGTCCCGAAGGTCGAGGCGTTGCGGAAGGAGATTTTATCAGAAGCTCATACCGCACCCTATCTGGCCCATCCCGGGAGCACGAAGATGTATCACGATCTGAAAGGGTCGTTCTGGTGGCGAGGCATGAAGAAGGACGTCGCCGAGTTCGTCAGGAGATGTCTTACCTGTCAGCAAGTCAAAGCCGAACATCAGAGTCCGATCGGCCTCTTGCAGCCACTGCCGATTCTGAGGTGGAAGTGGGAGGAAGTCACGATGGATTTCGTTACGGGATTACCGAGGTCGTCTGAACATCACGACGCTATCTGGGTCGTGGTCGACAGATTGACTAAGGTCACGCATTTCTTACCCGTTTCGATGAAGATGTCTCTGGACAAGTTGGCTGAGATATATACCCGTGGGATCATCCGACTCCACGGAGTGCCCGTTACTACTGTATCAGACAGAGATCCCAGATTCGTCAGCAAATTCTGGCACAGCTTACACGAGGCGATAGGCACGAAGCTAGAGTTCAGTTCAGCCTATCATCCGGAGACAGATGGTCAGTCAGAGCAGACTATTCAGACGCTTGAGGATATGCTTCGCGCTTTGGTTGTTGACAGGGGTGCTAAGTGGGAGTCGTTGTTGTCGTACGCCGAGTTTGCGTATAACAACAACTATCATTCTTCTATCCAGATGGCTCCTTATGAGGCACTTTATGGTCGCAAGTGTCGTTCCCCTCTTTATTGGGACGACGTCGGAGAGCGATGAGTACTCGGTCCTAAGTTGATCGAGGAAACGGCAGATCAGGTCGAGTTGATCCGGCAGAGACTAAGGACAGCTCAGAGTCGACAGAAATCTTCAGCCGATCATCATCGACGAGACATTCAGGTCGAGGTTGGTGAGCCAGCTTTTCTCAGAGTTCGTCTGATTCGCGGATTCATTCGATTCGGAAAGAGAGGGAAGCTGCACCCTCGATTCATCGGTCCGTTCGAGGTTCTCGAGCGAGTAGGCGAGGTCGCGTATCGATTAGCCCTACCTCCCGGGTTATCAGGCATTCATAATGTTTTCCACGCATCTATGTTGCGTAAATACGTGTGCGACCCCGATCATATCATTCCTCATACCGATATTCAGGTTCAACCAGATCTATCGTATGAGGAGCGACCAGTAGCTGTACTGGACCGTCAGGTTCGTCAACTCCGGAAGCGAGATGTTCCCCTCGTGCGTATTCAGTGGGATCGCCACGGAGCTACTTGGGAGGCGGAGTCCGATATTCGCACTCGTTTTCCAGATTTTCAGTTTTGATGTACATATTTCCTTATCCTATGTACATAGTTCATGTATATCAGTTATGTTTTGAATTTCCGAGGACGAAAATTTTGTAAGGAGGGAGGATTGTAATATCCCGTTATTTTATCAGTATAAATTATGTTTTAGTTCCGATCTAATAATGTTATCGATTATTATTTTCGGAATTAATTATTTTCAGTCGAGATTACCGAAAATTATTTTCGACGTATCGTTTATGTTAGGAATAATTTTGGTAATTAAGAATTATGTTTAATTAAAGAATAAACATTAAAGAGGTGATTAATTATTAATTAATCACGTAATAAATCCAAGGTTAAGTCCTAATCGTGTGGTATTGCTTCCAAATCATTAAAATGTCGTACGCTATTGTGAGGCAATTTAGTGGATTTTGTCCAAACCTTTTCTTCATTAATAGGAATGTTAACGTGTCATTATGGGGATTTACTTGAGGATTTGTCATCTAAGTAAGTCTTGCCTCATTACAAGTGTCATTAGCTCATGAAATCTCCACATTAACTCATCTTTCACCTCCAAATTGCTTTCAAGCCGTGGCTATATAAAAAGGGGACTTAGACTAAATTTTCTTCACTCTTTTCGGCCTTATAGTTCCCCTCTAAGTTATACTAAGTTCAGTAATAGTTAGCTAGCAATTTTGCCTTAGTTCTTGTGTTTACACACGCACGGCAAGTAGCAGTGTAGGTACGGCAAGCATCGCACGACAAGAAGTAGTTGGTATCGCACACGGACACGCTCACGCTAGGCCCCGATCAGTTGCGAGTTTCCGTCGAACACTTGAGGAGGTAAAGCCATCCTCAACTCATTTTCATGTTAATAAGTCCATTCTAAGTTGTAGTGTTCGACTTATATTCAAGAATTCATAGCTATACCATGTTAAGGTTCGATTATGCCTAGTCAAGTCGTGATCGAGTAACTTCTCATTTTACCCGGCAACTCATGAACTATCCATGTTTAATTGATCAGTTTATTTCATTTTATATTCAGTTACTTGAGGATGGTCAAGGTAAAATATCGTTTCAGCCCTGAATTGGCTCACAGCCGTCGGCAACGCACATCGCGCGTGGCCACGGGCTACTTCACGTCATGTTATGTTACTTTCAGTTATGGTCAAGTTTGTCCGTGTGATTTATGTCTTGATAGCCTCAAAATGATGTTTCATGTTCAATTAGTCTTGAGTTGCCGAGGGAAAAGGTTGAGTCGGTCGAGAGACGGCCTATCGCTGTTGGCGGCGCCCGGCGCGCTCGCCACGGCCCATTCAGTTAATCGTGCGAAAAGTTATGTTTTCAAGTTATTTCATTGATCATGTTCATGTTGAGTCAGATTATGTTTATTGAGGTTAGAGTGCACGGGAGTTATTGTCGGACGGCCGGCAAGGGTCGGCCGTGGCC